TTCATGTCTCCCTGTGCTTGTCAAGATGCAAGATGATAGATACTGTATATGTGCAAAAATATGTATTATTTCACAATTCCGGTATCTTTTTGCTGTTTAATTCTGGCAGGCTGTCTGAAAGAATCTCAAATGATTTCCCATTAGAACCTGAACATAAAATCAGCACCATTTTTGGAGTTGGATACAGAGGAAAATCCATAAACAGTGGCAGAATAAAACAGTATAGTGTTACTAGAACTGGATTGCAGAAATCCTGATGCAGACAGAGTGGGGTGGGGAGGGATCTTGAAGAATTATTTCTGACCAGCCATCTTGTAGCTCCCCCATCTTTTCCTTCCCTAGATTCCCATACAGTCCTGTGGGAGCCCAGAATGTATTAGCTTCTTGACACTAAGTGTTTGAAGCTAGATAATTAGTTGCTGTGGCCTTGAAAGCCCCCTTAAAATTGATTTAAGTGTATATTTTGGTTCTCTCTCCTCCCTTTTCATTCAGCAGTATGTGCTTCCAGAATTTACACGCTTAGTTTAGTGAATCACTTATTTCAGGGGTAGGCAGCATTTATTGTAAGGGTGCCTTTTGACCCTTTTTCTACCAGATTCACCTCCCAGTCTGACTCTTCAGAATTAAAACACTGAAATAAAAAGCTGGTATTTGGCAATGCAAAGTGGCACTCTACTCAATTACTGTCTCCTTGTTGTTTATGTTGCTTGCTAGCTTTGAACACTAAGACTGAATTTCCATGCCAATAATTTTCCTTTCTGATTAGTACACTTCTTTTATATCTTCCTTTAAGAGATGGGGAGAGGGAATGCTTTTCTAAATCTTATTTTCTTTCTACTTTAGTTTCTCCCCTGAAAACTCCTGCAGAAAACTCCCTATCTTCCTGAAAGCTTTTTTTTTTCATATAGTCTTCCTACTAAAAGCAACTTGATTCAAATTTTCTCTAGCAACACCCTTCTGAAGGTGTTGCATTGTGTACCATACCAATACATGTTACTTTGTGTTTTCTGTATCTCTTTTCTGCCATCTAGTGATTGTCCAGATGTCTGTGGCCTGGATATGATAGTCCTAATGATGTAATAATTTCCTACATAGTTGATTAACTGGGACAGTTATAGTCTTATTGGGTGACCTTATTAGGTGACCTACCTAAATTAACAGCTTTGTGGATTCCTACTTGAGTGTGCAATATGGCACTGTATAAGTGGCATATCCCCAATGGGAGCAGGTATATTAGGTTTTTTGAGATAAAAGTGATAGAGATTATTAAAGATTTAAAATAGCACACATTAATTTGAATATACTACATGATTTATTCAATGCATTATTCCAAAATCACAATGAAAGCCTTCCTTGCACATGATTCTAATTTGGCAATTTATGTTGGTCTTATGCAAATTAAAAGCAACTAAACAGTTAAGGTAAGAGCTGTGGTGGTGCAGTGGTTAGAATGCAGTATTGCAGGCTAATTCTGCTGACTGCCAGCAATTCGATTCTCACCAGGCTCAAAATGGACTCAGCCTTCCATCCTTCCAAGGTTGGTAAAATGGGGACCCAGGTTGTTGGAGGAAATATACTGACTCTGTAAACAGCTCAGAGAGGGCTGTAAAGCACTGTGAAGTGGTATACAATTCTAAGTGCTATTGCTATTGCTATTAGTCCTTGCTCAAATTGATGGAAGGCTAATGAGATATAGAACCCTCCCCACTTTGGGATGGAAGTAGCAATAGCATAAAGTGATGAGTTGTTTGGCCTGATTCTCTTTTTAGCCTTAGTTTATAATCCATAAAATGGGAATATTGTCAGTGTTCATAGGAATGGAAGGAGAATGAGAGCTGTCCCTGGGTATTTATTGGCAAAATTAATTTATTGATAAATAAGAGTAATAAGTGAAGAGGCAACTCTGTCTCTTTTCTTTTTATTTTGTTATAAGTCTTAGAACATATAAAATATGTATTATTTCTATACATTGATGTCTATATAATCTGTTTTAAATTATTAGCATTCTATTTATTATCTCCTCAATAAAATAACTTTATTGAGGAGAGAAAAGAGAAAGAAAAAATTATTCCATCAATGTTAATTAATATTTAGGATGGCAATATTACAAGTGTAAAATTATTTAGCTTTTCCATCCATTGAAAAATAACCATTAAACATCCAATTAATTTTATACATTAGAGATTTTGATCTTAAGCTGATTATTTATTAAAGTTTCCTTTGTATACTTACTTAGTGTGCTTCTGTGTTTCCTATTAATAAAAGGAAAAAATAGATAAACAGAGCAAATTTAACAAGAATTAATTACAAAGAGATTGAATTTTATTTAATTATTTTAAATCTATTTCAACTTTTGTGTACGAATGTTTTATTTTGGCTGTTCACTGCCCTGAGTCCGAAAGGAGAAGGGCGGTATAGAAATCTGAAAAATAAATAAATAAATAAAAATCAAAAGGGAAAGGAAATTATAATATAAGAAGAACTATTGGTTTTTTTAAAATTCCCCTTCTTTTTTTATATATCTGCTAATTTGCAATATAGATCTTTCCGCCCTCTTAAAACCAGACTGTAAGTGATTGCATTTGTATTTGCCTGGTACATGATGTGTTGACATATGGGAATTTCTTAAATTGAGTTAAATTTCTTAGTTAAACCACACCTCTCATCAAGAGGAAACTCCCTTGTCAGTGCAGCCATACCAAGTTAGGACATTTTCCTATCACCAATGAATTAAAATAAAATTGACTCATATTTGAATCAGTGTGATACCACTGCAAATCTGTTGCATCTGTTCTGAGTTGCTGCTAAATGGAGTTGTCCTGATTGCAGGGACATTATAGGCAAGGTGACTGGTTTTCTTATGTCATTCCTCATCCCCTGTGAGCAAATCACCAGCTGGGTGTTAAAAATCTACTTATCCAGGTATTGCAGCAGAAAAGGGGTTTCCCCCAAGTACAGCATTGTGCTTGACTTTTTCATTTTTTATCCTCCTGCCACATTCCATTTGGGCATCTCTCAAGTAAAATTGATAAGAAATGAAGGAAGATGTGAAAACAGAGGAGAAATAGCCAAAGAGAGGAAGAAGGTAGACCCTGCCACGATAATGAAATAAACTTGCTATTGTACTGCAGGAATCTGAATTTGACAGCGGTAGAGTAACCACATCTGCTGCAGTACTATGTAGGTATGTGGCTCTGTGGGACAGGATGGTGGATTTGTGGAAACTGACAAACACAAGACAACTGGAAATAAGCAACAAACACTACTAACATCTTTATTTTTTCTATACCACAATGAGGAAAATGAAGTTTAACTTCAATGTTAAAGGTATCAGATATCAGAAAAAAGTGTTAAAATGATACAATGCAAAATATACTCTCTCTTCTTTCCCCAAAACAATTTTAGAGATCTGCTCTCATCTTCTTGTTGGAAAGCCAGCATTCAGGTAAGCAAATGAAATAAATTCAGGTAACAGAGAGCCAATAGAGAGAGCAAAAGAATGCTGGCTAGTAAGTATAAAGCAGGGGATTGCTCTGCACTTCCAGGTACTCCCCAAATACACTTCTGATTGCTTCTGACAATGGGACAGTTGACAAAACATTCTAGATTTAATCAGTGGTGGGATTCAAATAATTTAACAACCGGTTCTCTGCCCTAATGATTTCTTCCAACAACCAGTTCACCAAACTGCTCAGAAAGTTAACAACCGGTTCTCCTGAAGTGGTACAAACCAGTTGAATCCCACCAGTGGATTTAATCTACCTTGTAACTGTGGTGGGGACAGCATTGTATTAAAGAGTATCCTTTATGGCATCCTTCAAGGTGTACAACTAATGACAACTTCAGTGTGTTTCACTCATAGCTTGGGATAAGATGAACAAAATAGAACAGTGATGTTCTCACAGCAATATTATGCTGGGGGCAATATTGAACTCTATAGCTTAGAAGAATGCAACACACCACAAGGATGGTGTGTGGCTTTGTTACATTCACAATTTCCACAAAAGTGAATTCCAGCTTCATTGTTTCTCCTCATGCATACATATAACGCAAGTAGATGTTTAAAACAGCCATTAAATCAGTAGAAGGAGATTTTATGCTGTGCTGTAACATTCTTACACTATTACCAAAGTAATATTTCCCATCACTTCCTTCTCTTTTTTCTTGAATATTCATGCTCCAGAGCAAGACTGTTTTTGCTTAGCAGTGAGAGCAGTAGATTCAAGATGGGAAAGGTTGCATCATTTCTAGTTCACCCTCTATGATCACTGTTAATGACACATACCTTCACACGATTCTGTTTCTAGTAAATGCATGAATAAACCGCTGGATTATTATTGATATAGATCTCATCAACTGGATAGTGTTTCTTCTCTCTGATTCGCCTATGAAATGCATCCCCTGATCTCATTTTCAAACACAATAGTCATGCACAGGTTTCTCTGGGCATTTCCTAGTCTGCAGTTGTACAAAATTAAGGTTCCCCATGATCTGCAATGATGCTCTATAAATCATACCATTGAATAACTTGCAGAGAAGAGGAGGAAGACAGATGAGGTGAAAACTTGGCTCAGTTGCAGAGCTACCTACCCCCACCCTCTTACCACCCAATCTGTTTTGTAGAAATAACCACGATAGTTTAAGACAGTATTGTCCATTTTTTATTCAGTACTGCTTACATTGCTTGTCAGTTGCCTTGGGAGACTGCAGTTCTGAAAAGCAAAAGATCAATAAACAAATAAGTAAACAAGGAAAACTAAACACTTCAAGGGTGATGTGAGGATTCAGAATGTGGCACATGAACCGGGGTGGAAAACTCATTTCAGCTGTAATTTGCCCTCCTGGGCTTTCTTTTAAGGGAAAGGTATTTTTTGACACAGGCACGTTTGTCATGCCTTCTATTCTGTTTCAAAAGGTTGCTTTCAGTTGCACTTCCTCAAATGGCCAAGGGTGGAGAGAACAAAGAAAAAGTATATTTCCGGAAAGTTAGAAATAAGCTACTAGGCATAGATTGCTGAAGCCTTGCAGTGTAGTTACAGTGCAGTTAACCAAGGTAGAGAGTTTGGGTGGGGTGTTTGACCCCACTTCTCTTGCCCACCTCCACCCCACAGGTTGCTGCTGAGCTGCTTGAAGTGCAGAGGAAATTCTTTAATTTATTGGCTCTTTTGGGGTCTTGCAAGGCAAAGGCCTGGGGGAATGTCTCATCCAAAGCAGCTACGAGATGAGAGGTAAGTCATTTACATTCTTTCTCCAAAGGGCTTCTTAATGTGCCTTTGCCTCAGGCTCAATACCTTTTCAAAGTTGGCTAAATTGTTCAGATTTTTAAAAAATATGTGATGTGCAGCTTCAGTTGCGGTAAGAGAAGAACGTCTGTGTATTGGTGTTCTCTTTGTTCTGATTGTACCCTATTGCTTCTGCTTCTGCTTTTTTCTTTTTCAAATGCACATATGCCAGTCCATCCCAAGATATTTTCCTGTCTGAGATAGAGTTGCAAATAGAAAGTCTCCTGTAAAGTACTGTAGGAAGAAATATCCTTCTGGGTTCAGCTCCAAGTGGGGAAAAAGACACTGGAAACATGGAGACTGCTTGGAAAGATGGTTTATTTATTTTTTTTAATGAAGTTTTATTGAATGAAGAATATATTACATTTCAAACTCTACGGTTCGGCAACGTGTAGTCATCTTGTATATTTACAAATATGGAATCTAATCGATTATCTAAATATTATACAATTTATACGTGAATTTTGTAAAGTTGAATACAACAATAATATATAGATTAATGTCCTAATAAAGGTTAACTTTTGCATTTATTTTTCAACCACCTATACCACAGATCCCAAATCATGTAGAATTCTGAGTCTTCCTCAGATGGTTTAATGGTGGACAGGATCACATGGTTTGAATTCCTGAACAGAAAAGGGGCGAGGCGCAGCGAGTCCCCGGGTTTTATGCTCTCTCTGGCTTTGAACTTCCTGGGGCCCAGATTCTCTTTCTCCTAGGGGGTGATTCCTAGGGGGTGGGGGTCTTAGCTAGCCTTACGGGTTGATGTAATTTTCCCAGGTGCCATGTGGTGAGTTTCTTTTTTCTTTTTTAAAAAAAATTGATTTATATGCTGCCCTTCTCTGGAGACTCAGGGCGGCTTACAATGCATTAAGCAATAGCCTTCATACTTTTGTATATTTTTACAAAGTCAGCTTATTGCCCCCACAAACTGGGTCCTCAATTTACCTACCTTAGAAAGGATGGAAGGCTGAATCAACCTTAAGCCTGGCAAGATTCAAACTTACTAATTGCAGACAGCTGGAGTTAAATTACAATGTATTAGTCTGCTGAACTATCCAGGCTTCTGTTGTTAGATGGGCCCTGTTGTGTTAGTTTCTGTTTCTAGATGGGTCCTATTGTGTTGCAGATGATGGTCCATTGACAAAGATTGAGTTTCTGCCTCTGGCCCATTAACAAAGGGTGGGGGCAGGAAGATGGGAGCTGCTTCATCTTTAAAACATGCTTCTCCATTTCTCATCCAGGGAAATATAATATTCTGCCTTTTTAATATTTCCCAAAATATTTCATTCCTCTAGGAAAGGGGTGGGTACTTCTTACAGTACCTTTGGCACCTGTATCAGGAAATCCCACAGCCCTGTCTCTTTGCTGTTAAAAGGATAAAAATAATACATTCATAACTCATCGTTGCTACCTTTGGCTGCTTTCTGGCCTCCTTAAATGATACAACCTATCATGCAGAAATGCACACACACACATCACCCAAGAAAAATATTGGCAGGAAGTTGTAAGCAGTCATCCCAACCTAGTGTCTTCCTGATGTGCTAGGCTCCTTTTCCCATAATTTCCAACCAGAGTGGCCAGAAGAGCAATATAACTGAAGGGCCCCTATATTTCAAGAGGGATGAGTTACCTGGGTTTAAATAAAAAATACGCATTTAGAAATGTATGATCATCAACATAGGTTATCACCTGCTGCAATAATCTCTTTAATGTATATTTTAGTGACTTTGACCAGCTTCCAGATGATGTACCTGTTTCTGCAAATATTGCAGATATTGAAGAGAAGAGAGGTTTCTCCAGTTATTATGTAAGAAAATATTTTTCTTGTGTATGTGATCTATGCTATGCCAGGGATGGGGAGAGTGAAAGTAGAGAAAATCCACTATATCATATAAGAGCTCTTCAGGTGAAGTGACTAATTTCATTGGATTTGTTTCACTTGTTTCGCTGGTTTCAACATCAATTACTGATGTTTAGAAACTTTGATATTAGAAACTTTGGAAGATCCAAAAGGTGCTTTTTCAAAAGGCAACTGGACTTTCTTTGTTTTTGCTTGAAGATGTTTCACTTCTCATTCAAGAGGCTTTTCCAGAACTTCTTCAAAACTTTTGAAAAAGCACCTTTGGGATAACCATGACCTGGATGACTGAGAATCTCCATAGAAACTTTAGAGATGTAGAAAACTCTCTTAAATCTGCAATTGGAGGTAATATTAAACCAAAATTCACTATTGCTTAAACAAGCTCATACGTTTCTTCCTCTCCATTGAGATGGGAAAGTTTAGAAATGTTTTCCTTCATTATCAGGACCCAGATTGTTGGGGGCAATACGTTGACTCTGTAAACCGCTTAGAGATGGCTGTAAAGCACTGTGAAGCAGTATATAAGTCTAAGTGCTATTGCTATCAGCATTTTAACCTGAACATTCTGTGATCAATGTTTGCTAAATATGATATAGGAAAAATGGCCCATTTAAACTATGGTGAAGATTGTTCACTTAAATCAGCCTTCTTCAGTGCTATGTTCCAGATACGTTGGATTTCACTTCATTAACTTTCAGTCAACATGTCCAGAGAACACATCTGAAGGATGCTAAGTTAGGGAAGATTTTCCTTAGTCAGAGTTAACATTAATCATAGTGTATTAAAAATGAAAGCAAAAGCTCTGGGTGGATCCATACATCATACTCAACAAAGTTGACCCTTACTACCAAGGCAATCCTTTCGGACTATAAAGAGAAACATCCCCTGGTAATCTTGTTTTGCTTCCTCTACCCTGGTCTGCAAATTATTTCCCGGAAATCAGGAGACATGGTGAAGGTCCAGATTGTCCAGTCATAGGTCACACGACTCACCACATATGCAGATAAATACTTTTAAAAATATCTAAAGTGGAGGCATATAGCTTTGACTGAACCCTGGTAAGACTGAGTGGTTATGGATGTATGGGATTTGGGACCCAGGACTTTAATGCCTTTAGTTCTGGGTTGCACTGTCCCAGACAGATACTGTGCACAATTTTTACGAGGCTCATGACTCCTGTTCAAAGAACAGGTGGCAGTTGTTGCTAGGAGAACCTTTGCACAACTTCATATTGTGCATCAGTTGTGCCCTTTCCTGGACTGTGAGTCCCTGTGTTCAGTCATTCATGCCTTGGTCATCTTGTATTTGGACTACTGCAATGTGCTTTACATGCGGCTGCTCTTGAGGAATACTCATAAGCTATATTTGCTGTAAAATGCAGCTGCATGGACAGTTCCTTAGGATGTGCATGTAACACCGCTAATGTGTGAGCGTTACTGTTTTGCTGGTCTACTTCCGGGTTCAATTCAAGGTGTTTGTTATGACCTTTAAAGCCTTTTATGGTATGGGTCTAGGCTACTTGAGGAACCATCTCACCCCAATGGAATTGTCCCACTCCATTCATTGTGGTGGAAGGGGCATGCTGCAGACTGCATCCAGTTGGGGGAACGGGACTCCAAGAGAAGAACCTTTTCTGCCATGGCCCCCTGCCCTCTGGAATATAATGCTCCTTTGAGGTGAGATCTGCTCCCATCCTCTCGGCCTCCTATAAGAGCCTACAAAACCTGACTCTGTTGACTGGCCTGGTCCCCAATGTGGATGTTCCATATTGGAGGTGGTTAGTGGACTAGGAAGACTATTTCACCTTCACTCCTTACTATTCTGATATTTTAATGTATTTAATCTTTCTTTCTTTAGTATTTATTGTTTTAATGTTTTGTCCCTTTGTTTTTTATGTTTATAAATTGCCCAGATTTGCTTGGCAGTGACATGGGTGGCATACGACCTTAATAAACAAGCAAGCCAGCCAACATGCAGTATAATGTATTGGGCTACACCTGGGTCCATCCTCAGTTTGAAAACTCACTGATAACTTTGGACCAGTCACTCTCAGCTCATCATAAACTCCTAGGATTGCTGCTGTGGGGATAAAAAAAAGGGTCAAATCCTCATGAAAACTGACACTTTGACTTTGTAGATGGGATATAAATCTAAGGAAGAAATTAATAGAAAATTAAATTTCTGGAATATTTGTCTGCCTGTAGCAAGGTTCCAGCAAGTTCCAAGCAATTCTGTTAAGGTGACATGAGTGTCTTTAGGAGCAGATATGGATAGTCAATACATAACATTTGCTTTTTTGTGAGATAGCATGAGGAACTCAACTATTGTGAATTGTAAACCACAGTCTATGGCTTAGAATAGTCAATTCCAACCTGGACATCCATGTTAGGTATACAAGACCCAGACTTCCTAGCCAGGGATTAGTATTTGAGAGTTGTAGTCCTCAAAAATTTGAAATGCAATGATAATTTCTAGCCCAAAATATCTGGAAGACTAGAAATCAGCCCATTATGTTTAAAACAAATAGACTTAGTATGATATGTGATTCCAGTTGCAATCAATCTTGGTTTTTTTTCTATCAAGAAAAGATAGGAGAGGAGATGTATGGACAACTAAGGTTTATTCATTCAATTGAACATTATTCCAAACTAAACCAAGCATTAATGGTCATCGTATATAATTAGTATTGCATGAAAACCATCTTGCATGGTGGGAGGACACATATAGAAAATATATTTACATATTTCTATTTTCCTGAATTCCTTTGCTTGTATTAAGGAGTTAGGAGGTTTAGATGAAGACTAGACCACTTCTTCCGCATGTTAGATAGACATTTATTTGTGTTGACTAAAATTCTTTTAACTGGAGATTTCAGGAATTTTGAATTCTTCTTTTCTAGGTATTTGTGATTGAGGTGAAAACAAAAGGCAAGAACAGATACATGATATTTCGGCGCTACAGCCAGTTCTACAGCTTACATGCCAAACTGGAAGAAAGATATGGTGCAGAAAGTAAAAATAGCAGCTTTACCTGCATACTTCCTACCCTTCCAGGTAAACCACAAAACCTTTCTGGTCCTGCATCTAGATTTTCTTCCTTGATCATCTGATAATGGATCGTTCACTTAATGGTCGCATAGTGAAAGATTTATCAATGCAGATGATTTTAAGATTATGATAATACAGTGATTCAAACCATGGATTCCTTTGCCTTTGCAATTTGTTCTGAACTCCCAAATACCTCTTGCCCTCTGGGATGCTCCCCTAATTTGAATATCACTTTTGAAATCATCATTATGGTGCAACTACTGAATTTTGTAATTCTTTTTGGAGTAATATTTGTTGTATTCTTAGTCATTGTTTTTATGTTCTTTTATACTTTGTGAGCTGCCTACAGTCAGTTGGAGTCTGGGATCAAAAATTAAACAAATAAATGAATTAATTAATAAATATATAAAATTTAGGCTAATCCGGGAATGCTTATGTTTGTCATAGGTTATTAAGTGGCTTTTCCAATAGATGTGTCTTATTATTTTTGGTGGCAATTTCCCCTCTTCAATTCTAAATGAAAAGCCATGTTAAAAAAAATCAGACTCAACCTACAATTTTATTTACAGCAGCCAAATTTGTACATTTCCACAGGAGGTCCTCCTCTAAGTAGCACATCTCCAGTCCCCACATACGAGCCCCAAATTATCTCAATCTGGATTAGGTTAACCTCATATGTTTTTAGAAACATAGTTTCTAAGCTGTTTTAGCTAGTTAAGTCTTTTTTTTTTTTGCATATGGGTGCACTCTAGGTACAATCAATTAAATATTGTAATTTTATGGGATTAAGGAAGCAAGCCTTCTTGGGTTGTAGCCAGGAGTGAAATCCAGCAGGTTCTGACAGGTTCTGGAGAACTGGTAGTGGAAATTTTGAGCAGTTCAGAGAACCGGCAGCGGAAATTTTGAGTAGTTTGGAGAACCGGCAAATACCACCTCTGGCTGGCCCCAGAGTGGAGTGGGAATGGAGATTTTGCAATATCCTTCCCCCAGGAGTGGGGTGGAAATGGAGATTTTGCAGTATCCTTCCCCTGCCATGCCCACCAAGCCACACCACATCCACCAAGCCATGCCCACAGAACCAGTAGTAAAAAAAAATTAGATTTCACCATTGGTTGCAGCCCTTGCCCTCTGGAAAAGCATCTCCTTCCCCTAAAAATGGAGGGCTTCCAGGCTCCTTGCTTTCTAGGAACCCCCTGAAACCCAGAGGTTGTGGCATCCCTGTTGAGATTTTGCACATTAGGGAGTGTGTTCAGGTAGCTTTTAATATGTTTTTATTCTATGTATTGATCCTAGCATACACTATCCTGGAGTTGGGTGGGTTTAATAACTCTGTCTGCCTGCCTGCCTTCCAGGGGTGGGTTCTACCTATCTTTACTACTGGTTCGCAACGGGGCCGTGTGCGTGTGTTTGCTTCGCTTGCACATGTGCACTCTTCTGCGCATGTGCAGAAGTGTTCTGATGACGTCGGGGTCGGTGGACAGAACCTCCCACCAGTTTTACTACCGGTTCTATAGAACCGGTCTGAACCGGGGGCAACCCACCACTGCTGCCTTCCTATCTCTCCAGGACAATATTTATCAATATTATCAATATTATGTTAGCTAAAAAACTCAAGGAAGAATCTAACTCTTCACCTCTCCTGTATACCCCATAGTTTAAAATATCTCTTTCCACCATTTATTCTTCAACTTCTGCCTTTGTCTCTCCTGTTACTAAGAAAAATTCTTTCTGCTGCATGACAGAGCCTGTATTGTATTTCACATCATCAGTTCCTGTTCTTTAAAACAGTCCCTCCCTTGTTTTATAAAACACATACAAAGAAGGCATTCTTATGCCAAATAAAGCCTCCCATTCTTTCAGTTATCTCTGTCAAAGGTAAAGACCCTTTGCTGCTCTCTAACCTTAGCTTCTTTTGTTTATAGAAAATGGGTTTTCCTTCACCATGTGTTCCATTTCAAAATACGTGGGTCTTTGCCGTCCTATTAAATTCGTTGTCAATATTGTGAATTTAAAATGGGCATTTTGTAATCCCAGCACCATAGAAATCATTAGTTCCTTTCACAGAATTATTGACCCCAGGGTTCTCAGAAGGAAGAGATTTTGCATTCTCTGTGAACTGCAGGTTGCACGAGACAGAGCATTTAGTGTTGCATTAGTATACAGAAACAATGGAAGTTTATAATGTGATTTGCAACTGGCAAACATCTCCCAAAGGGAGAAAAACAACAACCTACATAGGTAGTCCTCGACTTATGACTACAATTGAGCCCAAAATTGATGTTGCTAAGTGAAACATTTGTTAAGTAAGTTTTGCCCCATTTTATGACTGTTCTTGCCACTGTTGCTAAATGAATTCCTGCAGTTGTTAATTTAGTAACACAGTTGATAAGTGAATCTGGGTCCCTCATTGACTTTGCTTGTCAGTAGGTCGCAAGAGGGGATTGTCAGAGTTTCTTGCAAAAATCAAATCCAGAAGCACACACAGATAACTGAATCAGCTGCATTCATTAACTTCCTTATATTCATAATAACACATAAAATATATTTACAACACAAACAGTTAATTCTTCAGCTCAGATCAGCAGACATGTTCACACACACAGAGTTCGGTAGAGAGACCTTAACACACACACTGGTTTCAGTTTCTCTGCACAGAATCAGAAGCTGCAGACTAACACACGCCCTGGCTCCAGTCTGTCTCAGCTCCCAATTGGCTGATTTAGTTGCTATGCCTATTCATTGGCTGACCTTGTTACCATGTCTTCCCAGTCATGAATATTCTGACAGGGATCCCATGACCCTGGGACACAGCAACCCTCATAAATACGAACCAGTTGCCATTCCTCTGAATTTTGATCATATGACCATGTTGATGCTGCAATTGTTTTAAGTGTGAAAAACGGTCATAAGTCACTTTTTTCTGTGCCGTTGTAACTTTGAATGGTCACTAAACGAACTGTTGCCAGGGACACCTGAACAATCAAACTTTCTAATGTTTTTTTCTCTACACATCCCTTCCATGTGATCTTTATTTACATTTATGCTTTTCAGGAAAAGTTTATGTTGGTGCAAAGAAGGAGATTGCAGATAGCCGAATCCCGATACTCAACATATATATGAAGGTAAGTGTTAATTTTAGGATAGGTTTGCCGCTTTAATCATGGAGCTACTTAGTGTAAAATATTGTTATAGAAAAACCAATTGTCGCTCCATGGTGAGCTGAGAAGTTACTCACACGTGTAATTTAAACCCATTTGCGGTTATATTTATCTAGAATATGAATGTGAAATGTATCCAGGTAGTAAGATTTGATTTTCCATTCATTTTCTAGTCAACTCAAAAGTACATCTAAATTACTGAACTGTTTCTGTTTTATATTAGCTTTTAATTGTTACGGTTGCCTTCAGAGGTTTGTGGGCCTCATTTGGCACGAATCTTTCAACTTTGGGTCAGAGATTATTGCCTTCTTTCACACAATTGTATATGTTATTATTGAGCTTGTAAACCAGGGTAGTGGAGTTTGCTGTGTGATTAACTTTTGTTGCAGTATTAATTTGCCATGTTTAGCATACACACTAATACATCAGATAAACTTTTGGATTAGAAGCTTTAGGATAGCTCATGAGATACTGTCACTTGTTCTATAGAAATTGGGAAACTTTCCAAATTAATAGACTCAGTTTTATATTTCTTTCCTTCATTTGCATCATTCCACTAAACTCAAAAACATTTGAGTCGTTATGGATTTTTGCATTATTTCCTCTTGTATATAACATTAAGTCATTTGCTGCTGGGTTATCTTGATGACTTTAGTCTACTCGCAACCTATAGCATGGCAGGAGAAGAGAAAAAGGTATAGGAAACATTTATTTTTTGTGCCCTCCATTCCTCTTTGTGGTTGGTTGTTTCTCTGAGCCATTTCACAATTTCTTGCAGGTTACTAATCCAGTTAGAAACCAGTTGACTGAATTCTGCAACCGCTAAGAGCAGAAACCACTAGCTAGAATACTTGTAGATCTGCACATTAAATCAGAAACAGTCACCCAATATTTGTGCAGGAGTTGGCATCATAAAGATTGAGGCTGTTAGAGTATCCATTAGCACTCCAAATGATGTTTAGCATCCTCAACAAATTGAAAGTAGTCATTTTGAAAAAAAAGAGTTGAAATGTATTGGTATTGTTTTAGGAGTTTTGGATGCCTGGGACATTATGCAAGATTACACAATTGTCTAGAAATGGTTACACACATCTAGCATCCTATGCAGCCTTTCACAGTCCAAACTTAATTTAATCATAAGAGATTAGAGACACTTCTAAGTCTCACCCCCCAAGATGTCTGGTGACCTGAGACAGGACATTATAACCAAAGTTATTAATCTCACCTACAATGTCAACATAACTATAGACCAGTGATGGCTAACCTTTTCCAGACTGAGTGTCCAAAGCGTGTGCCTGAACCCCCAAAATACAATGCGCCCACATCCCCTTGCATGCACCCCCGTGCATGTGCATGCAGCTCCCTGCATATGCCCTGCCCCCCCATGCATGCATGGCCCCCACACTTACGCTGTGCCCCTGCATATGCATGGCAGAGACCCAAAGACCAGCTGGCTAGCGGGAGGCATGCATGCATGCGCAGCAGAGCTGAACTGGGGTGACAGCTTGCATGCCATCAGAGAGGGTGCTGCATGCCACCTTGGCATGTGTGCCATAGGCTCACTATCATGGCTACAGACCATTCCAAACTCCCTAACAATGCTGCTGGATAACTGGAAGATGATGTAAAAATAATAATAATAAAAAAAGGAATGGGGATTTGTAAAAAAAATAAATAAAAAAGGGATGGGGATTTGATTTGAAGGGACAGGGCTTCAATTGCACAATTATGGTTGTCTTTTCAATTTTTTTAAAACCGTTCCAGCAGATGTTCCAAGCTTCTTACAGTATTGATAATAAAGAGCCCTCAACAATGCTGAGCATGTCTCAGGGCTTAAGGAATAGGGATATTGGGCACTTCCCTCTTGCATGGGGTGTAGATGGAACAGGAGGGGAGTGTCTTGACCCCTTCCCCAGAAAGATTTCCTCTACCTGTAAAATGCCAAGGCATTTCTCAATTTGATTTCTTTATTCATTGACACAGAAGCTGCTTAGCTTGCTACCCTGTGTGTTGCTAGATGAAGATATCCGCTTATTTTTCTGTCAGTCAGAGTTTGACAGTGAACAGATACCTCAAGGACTGAGAAGGCTACGCCCTCGCACTCGCCGTGTGTGAGTATGTAACAGACATAGGAGACAGTTCTTACTAACTTCCTAGTCTAGTTAATAAACATTCAGCTGGTTGAAATGCTAATTCTGTATTGATCCCCAGTGGAGCTGGTGAAATACTCTTTCTCTCTTCTTTATGATAGAAAGAGTGTGAGTCCTCAAGAACCAGGGTTTGACAGATTGGCAGCTCCACGAGTGGAGGTGAGTGTCTCATTCGCTATGTTGTCTGACATTATTGTTACAATATATGGTTTTTATGTATTTTGTGCAACAACTATAGCCAACCAGTAGATGGCAGGGTTTATATGTTTGCATCTATACACTCTATGCACTTTATCTGTATAAAAGTTTCTTGTTTCTTGTCACAGTTAAGCAGTAAAGCACATGGTGACTGTGCAGTTTGTTTGTTTGGTAGGGCTATATAAACAGCATTTCTAACAGCTATAAAGATATTTCTCTGAATGTGTCACTATTCATCTGGCTAGAGGATTCTCTTTCAATAATAGAGGTGGAGTTTATGGGCTAGTAGGAAGAACACACACTTCTTCCTTTCTGCTTAACTTAGAAAGAATGGAGAAGGAGGGAGAGAGGAAGAAATGAACGAATTTAATATTATTGTATTAAATAGCATTGGATTAACATTCCCAAAATATTTGTAACAAAATCCACATATAAATAGTTATGTAAACATATTATTGAACATATTTCATCATAAGATATGGATTTTTATAGATAATTTATCTCAAAATTGCAACTTCCCTGAATTTCCTGGAAGAAAGATAAATATAAAAATGACTGATTTAGCTTTCCCCAATTTACTCTTTTGAGATACCATTGGAATTTCAGTTCCCAAAGTTCTCAAACAAGAGTTGCAATTCCACCATATCTGGAAAATGCCAAATTGGTGTTATGCATAAATAGGTGGATAGAGCAGTGATAGATAAGTACAGGCAGATTCTTTTTTCCTCCATCCCTCCCTCCCTTTCTCTCTCTCTCTTTTTTCATTCTGAAACAGTTGAGTGCATATTTCTGCCTTTCTTATGACAACTGAAATGTATTATATAGAAGGTTAGAGTTCTTAAAAATTACTTTTGCTAAAACTGTAATTTAGTGGTCATTTTCTTTTAGAGCCATGGAATCTATCAATCAGTGTTATCATGGTATGGTATAATTCTGCAGTAGGGAAATATTGGCAGAAGCCTGTAAGAGGGCACAGTTGTTACACATAGTGGTATATAACTGGTATAATCCAGTTATAGGCTTTCTAATACAAGATTTTTGCACAAATATCTTCAAGGTCTTTAAACTATTGTGATGCTATGTTTACTTTCTGAGAATAAAGATTATACCCAATTTTTGTAATTTTGTAATCTGATCTCCTACAATTGGAATCTTTCCCATAGGCACTGTATGATTTTACTGCCTCCAATAAACTGGAATTGAGCTTCAAGAAAGGAGACTTGATCTATTTACTCAGCAGGATCAATAAAGATTGGTTTGAGGTAAATATTGTTGGGTCCTCAACAATGTGGCCATAACTTACTGATCTGAATTGATTGGAACTACAGTATCTCCTAGTGCAGTGATGGCTAACATTTTCCGGACCAAGTGCCCAAAGCCTGTGTACCCAAACCCCCGAAATGCAATGTGTGTGCATCTCCTCTGCACGTGCCCTCCCCCTGCACATGCGCGCACAGCCCCTGCACAAGTGTCCCACCCCTGCACATGTATGTGTGGCCCCCCACATGCCCCCACTCCCCTGTGTATGCGCATGCCTCCCTGTGCATGCACGGCAGAGACCCGAAGACCAGCTGGCCAGCGGGAGGTATGCACACATGCGCAGCAGAGCTGAACTGGGGCAATGGCTCACATGCCATCAGAGAGGGCGCTGCATGCCACCTCTGGCACACGTGCCATAGGTTCACCATCATGGTCCTAGTGTGACCATTGTGGAATTCAAATATGATAGAAATTAAGGACTTGCAACAACTCAGGTTCAGTCAGGGATTCTTTAATCCTTCTCATCCTTGCATGATAAATGGAACACAAGGCATTGTGGATTATCTTCCAGGGATTACACTTCCAAAACTCTTTGAGATGTGGCTGGTGGATTAATATAGCTACATTGTCATGCTTAGAGCTAGAACATTGGCCAATTGGCATCATATATGTAAGGCATGTATACTTACTTGCTATCTTTGGGTTCTTCTATTGCTGTTCATTCTTTTAGTGGCTTGCTGACCCATATCAATGTCTTTTGAGTTTAAGTGGGAAGGCTATCCTGGGCGATATCCATGGGCAATAATAACACTCTCCTCTTCTGGTCTCATGCAGTCAATAGGAGGGAGTCATCTTTTTAAAAACTGTCCTCTTTTATTCCAGGGAAGTCTTCGAGATGCTACTGGAATTTTTCCGTGTGACTTTGTATCAGTCATTAAAGATCTCCCTCAAGAAGAGGATCCAATCAACTGGCTGCGCTGCTATTACCATGATGACAATGTTAGCTCTATCAGGTAATGTGACAAAGCACCTTTCTGGGCATTGTACTTTACATAGCTGTCAGTGCTTTGAGGTTCAACATCAGTCCCACTCTGATAATTGTTCTCCTATTCCCAATAGGGAATAGGAGAGCAGGAGATTGTGGAATGATATTTTTGATTTATATTTATTTATGTAGCACTATGGGCCAGCATTACATCTTATAGACTGCAAGATGACATGTCTCTGATTTATAGTGGTTGTGTCATGAACCAAATTCAAATCTTCCCTCCACTAAAATCAGTTATTTCTTTAGGGTAATCTCCGAATTTTGCCCCTTGCTGCCTAGACTGATGATACTATGCTGTCTTGCAGAATAGTTCTTAAGCAATGTATGTGATATAATTTGAACATTTGAAATTATGAATTATAGTTAATCAATATTATCACTGAAACTTCTCTATGTTAGATTGGTTATACTTCATAGGCCTTGGAAGCTGTTTGGTGTAGAGGTACATTTCAACCTTTCCTGTTGGTAAAGGACATACTACATGTTACAAGCTAATATGTATGCCTAAAAGTAAAGGAAAGATGGTTTTTGTGAGGGGGAAACACACACACATTTCCGCCTTATCATTATTTAACTTTGATCAAATAAATCAACTTTATATTCTTTCTTTTTACTTTTAACAATCTTGGTCTTTATTCCTTCAAATAATATCCTAGAATTTGATTTATTTTCATTTTTTATTTATCCCTTTTCACAAAATCTTCAAAGCTTTAAACTTTTGTAAATCCAATATAGTAAAGTTATCCAGATGATAGTTTTGATTTGTTGTTTGTATATCCCTTATGACATAGGTGTCAAATTTTGGCATCACGTGATGTTTTTTAATGTTTTTTCCCTTCATGGAACTGGGGTGGGCATAGCCTGTGCATGACGCATCCAGCCCACAGGCCGCCAGTTTGACACCCCTGCCTTAAGACATCAGACGTTTTCAGTTCTATGTCCAATGTAGCAGGGATTTTTTCCCCCCCATATCTTTCTTTTAACCTGTAATTTTAAAATCAACTTTCAGATCAATCTTAGCCTTGTCTGGTAAAATTTGTTCCTCTTATATAACATAGCAATAGCACTTACATTTATATACCGCTTCATAGTGCTTTATAGCCTTCTCTAAGTGGTTTATAGAGTCAGCATATTGCCTCCAACAATCTGGGTCCTCATTGTACCAACCTCAGAAGGATGGAAGGCTGAGCCATTCAGAATTGAACTCCTGGAGCGAGCAGTGAGTTAGACTGCAGTTAGCCTGCAGTTGTTTAGGAGAACAAACACACCAGGACTAGATTCAGCAGTCCACCTGCATTTAAAAGACAGAGGCCACTCTTTTGAAGATAACTAAAGTCCACATTTTGGACAGAGAGGACCGCTAGTTTGAAAGAGGGGTCAAAGAGGCCATCTATGTCAAAATTGAACAGCCTTCTCTTAACATAGGGGAAGAGATATGACATCATCTATCTCCAATCTACAACACAGTCCCTTCAACAGTTCCAAGAAGGCTCCACACTCATTTGCACCACTCAGGTGATCCTGATGACACAGATAAACTTCCAGGTGACCTTAATGACTCTCTAAAAGAATGCAAATGACCAGCTGTCTGCAAGGAATATAAATCCTTCCATTCCACACCATCCAGTCAGAACTGAAGGAGCTTCTGAGATGAGAAGTGAAACATTTTCAAAGAAAAACCAGAAAATCCAGTTGCCTCTTTAAAAAGTACCTTTGGGACCTGCAGTACTGCATTCTAACCACTGCACCACTATGACTCTTAAATACATCTTTAAATATAGTCTATTTGTAGAGGTGGACATTCTTAAATAGCAATAGCAATAGCACTTAGACTTATATACTGCTTCATAGTGCTTCACAACCCTCCCTTAGCGGTTTACAGAGTCAGCATATTGCCCCCAACAATCTGGGTCCTCATTTTACCCACCTCCGAGGATGGGAGGCTGAGTCAATCTTGAGCCAGTGAGATTCGATCTGCTGAACTGCAGCTAGCAGTCAGCTGAAGTAGCCTGCAGTACTGCACTCTAACCACTGCGCCACCTCGGTTCTAAATGTAATTTCTGTAATTTCTGTAATTTCCATTGTTCAAAAATATCTTACAGCATGTCTGATATTAAAGTATTTTGTTTCATTCTATATTATTAAGTCAAATTTAAGTGTACTTCTCCTTTAATTGTATTCTTTAGTTCCTTCTGGTCCTATTTAATGTCCAACTTTCAGTGTCTCATTCTATCACATTTTTTTAAAGGGAATTCAAAACAAAACCATTTTCCCACAGGAAGGATTCTTATAAATAATTCCAAAATCTTATTTCAAATTTACCTAGACCCTTAATCCAATTCTAACTTTTCAAAATCAAAGTTCTAATCACGCTTATGCTATTTATTCCAACAGGACTTTTTAAAAAAGTCCTTAAACTTGTATTTAAAACTTCTTTTACTAAGGATTGAAGATACCAAATCTGGTGCTGTAAAACTTGCCTATCCAAAAAGTTTCTAATAGCTGAAAAGCAGTTAAGAAGAAACTTCTGAAAAATAATTAGGAAGGGAAGTGTCATGCTCCCTTCGGAGCCTGGATCCACGGAGAAGGACAAGCCAATGCTGGAGGTTGAGGGGGCGGCCTCATCGGCTTTGGAGGAATGCAGGGAGGAGCAGGACAAGGCAACCCCAGGCCCCTTGGGCTTGGGATGGCTTGCCAGCCAGGAGGAACGGGGGCAGGAAGACTGAGGGAGGGCAGGCAGTGGAGATGAGGAGCGACGGAGCTCAGGCAATGAGCAAAAACCACCCCCTCCTGATCCCCAAGCATGGAGAGTGGAGAGAAAGTGGGAATAGCGCAAGCTGACCCGACAACTCGGGAGGCGAGTGCCCCTCCCCTCTTCACAAATCACACCTGGGAACTGAGATTTAAGGAGACACTGTGGGGAGGGGCGTTTGTCAGGAACAAATGCTGAATTTGTGAAGTTTTATATGTCATTGCTGACATCTGGAGCTCGCTGGACTTCTTGCCTTGTTCTTTTACTTCATGAACTCATTGCCTTCTTCCTTGCCTTGTCCCTTTGCCTCGCTGGACTTCTTGCCTTGAAGCCATTGTGCTAACAGTGTTTTGCTGAACTACTCGCTGCTCTGTGTGTGTGTGTGTGTGTGTGTGTGTGTGTGTGTGTGTGTGTGTTTGCTCTGGGACTTGCCATAAATAGGGGAGAAAGTTGGGGGGAAAGTTGGAGCAATAAAGGGGAGTTTGAACTATCAACTGGCTGTGTTGCCTCCATGCCTTGTACCCGGTCATCACAAGAAGTATATGACTATGAGTAATGTCTTTTTGAAATCAATTTGAAGGAAAAGATGGCTGTTCTGTCAACTTCTAGAACTCTAAACCTATGGGAGACCATTGTCTTGTGTCCTTCTCACAACAGTAACTGCAAGGAGCACTTATGGGAGATCTCAAGTCATTTCCTTGTCTGGAGAGGAAATTCAAAGAGCTGATTTACTCGCTGGCTCTTCGTTCTGCCATGATTCATTGGCTGCACTTTTAGCAGAGCTGTCTTCAGTTCATTACTTCTTACTGAAAAGTTCCCTATTCTTAATCCTTCTTGAAAATGCATTACTTTAAAAAAAACCTGATTTGTAATTTTGGGTCTACTTTATTAGCTGAAAAGTATTGTAGTGATAGGATTTCAGAGCAAAGGGCAGGGAATGTGGACAAATGTATGGACTTTAATTCCTAGAATTATCATAATGGGGCATGTTGGTTGGGAAATTTGGGGAGTCACTATCCACACTTCTAGAAGGTACCCTAGTTGGGGAAGGCTAGTCCCCTTTTCATCTCTTTTTAAATCTCTTGACACACAGCCAAGAACTTCCTCTTTTAAATGCATGCCGGTAAAATCTTTTCACAATTGCACTTCTGGAAACACTGAGTTACCTAGAACGGAAAGAAAAAAAACTTGGTTGCTATTAAACACTATCAGATTAGGGGTATGATGCTGTGCTGATTGTTACTCCTCTCTTAGTTGTTCCCAAATACAGCTGTTTAAATGGGCATGATAATTTTTCCTTAATGGGCACGAGTACTATGTGTATATATTTCATTTTTTACGTTTTTTGTACTTATATTCTAAATGTTGTATGTTTTTTTTACTCTGTATGAAATTATCTGCAAAAAATTATTCCCTTTTCTCCCCTTTAGAGATATATCAGTGGAAGAGGACTTGAGCAGCATCCCATTGTTCCAAGACCTAATGGAGTTAACCAGGTAAAGATATAAGCCAATCAACTTTCAGTCTGAATATCTCCAAATATTTGCATTCATATATATTAAATTTATATGCTGCCCATCTCGCTGTCCAAAACAACCCCAAAATTAGCCAAGAACTCAGGTTTTTACATGAGCATACCTGCCTTATAGACCAGTGGTTCCCAATCTTACGGCTTGGGACCCTGGGGGTGGGGGGAGAGAGGATGGTTCCCAGAGGAGGTATTCAGCTGGTACAGACCGGTTCACCCAAACTGGTAGTGAAAATCGTGGGTGCCCCCCCCAGCTTTATGCCATCTTATTTAGGCACATTTTTGCGGCTGGGCGCATGTGTGGACGAGTGTGCTCACATTTGCGAACCAGTAAGTAATACCACCCCTGATGATTCCGTGTGAGCAATTGGCGTGCCCACAAGCACTCACAACTCCATTTGCACAAGCAGCAGCCTGTCTTCACCTAGTTCGGTTGGATAAAGGAAGGGCTAAAACGATTCCTCTTTGGGCTGATTCTTTGACTGAGCAGCAGACTTTTAGCTCTAACTTTTTTTAACAATTAAACAATTGTTTTAACAATTGTTAAAAATTAAAAAGATAAGGAGAATTTTGAGAAATATATTTAATAAATGTAAGAAAAGTCGGGGTTGCCTGGACACCATAGTGGAAAATAGAAAACTGAAAATGAATACAGCAATAGAGAAAGACGAAAGAGGAGTAGAGGGATGGAAGGGAGGGAGAAGGAGAGAGAGGAATGGGAAGAAAGGAAAGAGGGGAGGGAGGAAGGGAGGGGAAATAAGAGTAGGAGAGAGGGTTAGAAAGGGAGAAAGAGAGGAGGAGAGGGAGAAAGAAAGGGGAAGTAGAGAAAGAGTAGGAGAGGAAAGAAGAAGAAAGTAGGAAGGAAAGAAAGGAGGGAGATGGAAGAGATTGAGAAGAAAGATTGCTGTACAATAAAAAAAGTTGAAATGGAAGAAAGGCAACCCCAAACATGTGTAAATGCACTAGGATAAAGAATGAATTATTAAAAAATAAAAGAGAATAAATATGAGTAAAAACAGAGAAATTAGAATTTGAGGGCGAATAAAGATGTTGCTTATACAAATAAGCATAAAAATTTTAAGATATGATCAAAAAATGGAAAAAGAAGATTTTGGCAAAAATTGTAACTGAGTAAATTGTATTTGAATAAGATAAATTGTATAAGTTATTGTATGGCCAATGCTCTGTTCATAAAATATGCAGGTGAATGTGGGGGGTGGGGGTGGGAATCAATAAAACTTGATTTAAAAAAAAAAGACTTTTAGCTCTAATGTATTTCTCAGCTCTGGTTTTTGGATCTGAGCTTATTCCTCACATCTACCTTAAAGCAGAAAAGTATGTTGGCAATTGCCAATCTCTATTTTGCCTCAAGACTATTGCCATCCTCCTAGTCTTAATGTTGAACAAATAATAAAAGTAATGGTAAAGCACGCTGCATTCATTTGTTCTCCTGCCAAATGTCATCAGCTGATGGGAAATATCTGCCAACTGCTCTCCTAATTGTGGAAAGAAATGCATTTTGTCAAAGAGAGCTTTGGTTTTGTGCAGATTGTTGGTCTTGTTGCGTTCAGCTGAGAGTCAGGCTCCTTTTGGATATGGGTTTAGTATTATTCCAGAGTAGTGTCATTTCAAAATAATTCTAATCTGGAATAGTGCTAATTTGGAATAATACTATAAGGGAACAGTGCTAAAATTTGTTTTTTAAACTATCCCATACTGGAGAAGACATTGGCTTCCAGCAAGTGGATTGGTTTCTTGCTCCTTTACAACGGGAAGCTAACCCAGTTGAAGATAGCCTTTATACACACATGCATACATAAGCTTTCCTCATAGTGTATTTGTCTGCAAGCTCTTCCCTGATTTGCCTTTTGAAATTGTGAAGTTCTGTGACAGATCCAAATCAACTCAGCAGCTAAACATTTGAGGAGCGTATCTGATAATGTCATTTTCTTGCCTGTCGAACTTGGCATTTTAACATTAACCAAGAAAGCATCTGCAGACAAAAACAGGTTTCTTGAATGATATTGCAGTGGCTAAGCTGATAATTGTTTATCTGTTGCTAATAACTAACAGAGTCTATCTTTGGCACTGACAACAAAAAAACAGGTGAGAGACTGTGTATATGCCAGCATGGGATGGGACACACTTCCTGACCAGAAAGTGGAAATGTGTTTTGGCACATTCTTCTTGGTGTGATTCTGTTCCTATAATGAAATATCTTGTTTTTTTTCTCAGGCGTGAATTTCAGCGGAATGATATCGCTCTGAATTACCGTGACGCTGTGGGGGATCTGATCCGTCTGCTTTCTGATGAGGATGTTGCGCTTATGGTGATGCAGGGCAGAAGTTGGCCTTTTGAGAAACATATCTTCCCATGGAAATTGCATGTTACCAGAGAAGCTGATTACAGCATTTACCACTCAACAAAACCTGTCGTTTCCACATAAAAACCACTAAAAAGCATTCATAAGGGAACTTGATGTTTTGACAGAAAGCAATAATAAACTGATTAGACCAGTGTGAAATCGACCCATTAAAAAAAATATTCTGTACTACTTCACACAATGCTTCCCCCACCCTTAAAATTATGAAGCATGGCTAGGAGTCCTTACAATTTATAGGCATTACTAGATTTCTTTGTACTGGATTACCAGTTTTAGTAGTTTGCATATTAAATGCTTGATTTAGAAAAAAATGTTTATTTTTATTTAATATTGAGCTGTTATAGAACTAACGTATATTATTAGAAATACAGAAATAAAATACTGAAAGACATTCCCTACTATTGTCTTCTATTACTCCTGTTTTGACAAGCTTCTAATAATTTTGTAATGTTTCATTGTAATTGATGTTGGTTTTGTTGTTGTTATTAATATTCAGACCCCATAAATACATTTTCTTACACAAGTATGTTTTAGAAAAAACAACTACCACATTTTTTAGAGTATAAGACACACCTTTTCCCCCCAAAAGAGGGTAAGAATCTGGGTGCGTCTTATACTCTGAATGTAGCCCCACCCAGCCTCCCAAATGGAGATTTCAGAGGCTGAAAGAAGCCTCTGAAAGAAGCTTCAGAAAAAAAGCCTCTGAAAGGCTTTTATCTAAAACAGCGGTTCTCAACCTGGGGGTCGCGACCCCTTTGGGGGTCGAACGGCGATTTCACAGGGGTCGCCAAAGCCCTCTCTCGCCCCCCCTCCCCACGCCTTCACTCACCCTCACTCTCTGCTCTGTTGGATCGCTGGCCGTTCGTTTACCCCGCCCACTCCCAATCTATTGCTGCCTCCGATGGCTAGAGGAAAAAAAACCTGTTTAAATTCTTGTCACGGGGCTTCAAAGGGCCGCCCTATAGCCAGTGGTGCAGCCGAACCATTTGTTAAATTGCTGACTTGCCCCGCCCCTCCGCACCACTATTTATTGCCAATAAATAGTGGTGGGCGAGGGGTGGGGGAGCCAGCAATTTAACAAATGGTTCGGTGTTTTTTTGTAATTTTATTGGCCCGCAGAGCTTCAGCATAGGCTAATTAGCCCTTGATTAGATCGGCTCCCGACCCCCAGCTGATTTGCTCTCAGCTGTTTTGCTCAGGGCTCTGCTGCTTGCTTGGAAAGAGTGCAGATTTTTTTCCCCCTATCTATGCTGAAAAACGAAACTGAAACTGAAACTCCTTTGCTGTTGCTGCAACTTGGAAAATTAGGCAGGCAGATTTCTTTTCTTTTTCCTCACCAAAAAAAGTAGGTGCAAACAATGGGAAATTTAGGGAAAAAGAGGAGATTTTAAAACACAAAAGAAAAAAAGCTCTATTTAACTAGGGAATTGTAATAATTGAGATACTATTAATTGTATATTGTGTTGAAAGCAGAAATGGTTAAGTTGTGGTTTGGAGGAATATATGGGGGAAATTATTTGGTGATTTTTATTAAAATGTTGAATTTATATTAAACAACTGTAATATTACATAATTAACCAATGTGAGGATGGATATAAAAATAGATGACAATGGGAAGGGGTATAATATAGAATAGAAGGGAAAAATTGAATTTGATTAAGATTAGAGATGAGGATGAAGGGTAATATTGGTTTTTTACAAAAATAGATGAGGCATAAATATGGCAAAAAGGAAATATAGAAATTGTAAATTTAATTGAAATGACTAAACACTGTTTAAATTTATGAACCAGCCAAATACTCTGTTCAAAGAAAATACATTGTATGTTTGTATGTGTGTTTCTAATTATTGTTATTTATTCATATTTGTTCTCTTTTATTCTTTAAAGTTTAACAATTCATTCTTTATCTTAATATCTTTATATTTGTTTGGGGTTGGCTTTCTTCCCTTTCATCTTTTTTATTGTACAGCAATCTTTCTCCTCAAACCTACCATCTCTCTCTTTTCTTTCCTTCTTACTTTCTCTTCCTCACCCTCTTCTTCTCCTCCCTACTTCCTCTTCCTTTCTCCTTCTCCTCCTCTCTTCCTCCCTCTCTTACCCTCACTCCTACTCTAATTTCCCTTCCCTTCCTTCATCCCTCTCTATTGCTGTACCCTTTTATGGATATGGACTATTCAGAGGGCTGAAAAAGTTATTTCTGACTGGTCCTCGCACTTTTGACCAGTCTTCGAACTTACGACTATCCTCACATTTTACGTTTTTGCCCTATCTTGTCACCATGGTGAAGAGAAGCAGTTATGAAATGAGTGACACATTGTTAAGAATGCTACAATGGGCATAAATGATGACCAGTCATAAGTGCGAAGACCGGTCAAAAGTGCGAGAACCTGTCAGAAATCACTTTTTTCAGCCCTCTGGGTAGTCCTTTTGTGCATATGGACTACTCAGAGGGCTGAAAAAGTTATTTTTGACTGGTCATCGCACTTTTGACCAGTCCTCGGACTTATGACTGTCCTCACATTTTACGTTTTTGCCCTATCTTGTCACCATGGTGAAGAGAAGCAGTTGTGAAATGAGTGACATGGTTGTTAAGAATGCTGCACGGGCATAAATGTGAGGATGGTCATAAGTGTGAGGACCAGTCAAAAGTGCGAGGACCTGTCAGAAATGACTTTTTTCAGCCCTCTGAGTAGTCCCTATAGACATAGCCATGGCCACCCAGTCACATGACCAGCTAGCCACGCCCACCCAGTCACATGACCTCCAAGCCACGCCCACAAAATAAGCCACGCCCACAGAACCGGTAGTTAAAAAATTTAGAACCCACCCCTGGTTGGGGGTCACCACAACCTGAGGAACCGTATTAAAGGGTCGCGGCATTAGGAAGGTTGAGAACCACTGATCTAAAATAATATGGCAAGCAACAAAAGGAGAATCAGTAAAGGTTCTAACCAAACTATGCTAAGAAATCTGGAGAATGACACAATAACCAACAGATTGGAAGAGGTTAATCTACATACCAATACCAAAGAAAGGAGATTGAACAGAGTACAGATAGTCCTTCAGAATAAAAGCCTCTGAAAGAAGCTTCAGAAAAAAAGCCTCCAAACACTTCAGAAAAAAAGCTTTTTTTTCTGAAGCTCTGCTTCAGAGACAGAAAAAAAGTTTTTTCTGAAACAGAGTTTCAGAGGCAGAAAAAAAAGCAAGGCACAGAGCTCACAACCAAGGAACCTGTTGCTAAAATTCACCACTGGGAACAGCTGATTGGGGGTATTCCGGGAGGCCAATCCACCTACCAGTCAGCTTTTTTCTTATTTTCCTCCCCAAAAACTAAGGTGCATCTTATACTCCGGTGCGTCTTATACCCCGAAAAATATGGTATATTGAGGCTGTACCATATCTTCCTGAGTTATCTCCATTTTAAAGAAAAAGGACCCAGAGAATACATGACCTTGGCATTTAGACTCAGAGAAAGAAATTGGGGGGTGAATCACTTTCCTTTCCGTTCTTTTCCCCTCACATCTGCATATACTCAGTCAAGGCACGTATTAGTTTATGTCAAGATTTCTTTTTTTAGAAATATGCAAGTGGACATTTCTACATATTTTTCCAACAAACTATGCATTTTAGTGTACTTTAATATCTGTTAAGAACAACTTGTGCTTTGATTACAGATACGAGACTGAATTTCATCAGCTCATATATTGGAGGAGGGTCTATATGATAGCAAACATCTGCAGAAATTTGCACTTTTTATGGAAGATTTTTTTTTTTAAAAGTAGATGCCTTACAGAAAATATATGTAAAGACATGGTATTCAACGATATACAGGTAGTCCTCCACTTACAACAGTTCATTTAGTGATCTTTCAAAGTTACAACGGCACTGAAAAAAGTGACTTATGTCCATTTTTCAGACTTATGACCATCGTCCTGTGATTTACATTCAGATGCTTGACAACTGGTTCATATATTTGAACTTTGCAGTGTCCTGGGATCATGTGATCATCTTTTGCAAACTTCTGACAAGCAAAGTCAGTGGGGAAATCAGATTCACTTAACAACTGTGTTACTAACAATAACTGCAGTGATTCACTTTACAAATTGGCAAGAAAAATCGTAAAATGAGGCAAAACTCACTAACAAATTTCTCACTTAGCAACATAACAGGACTCCCTGTACAAATATGTATTTTTCTGTGCAAATATGTATGCAGTTTTTCCACTCAGTTGCAAATAGAACTTGTGGTTGGTATGTTGAAAAATCAGGGACAAACAGAATTGGCAAAATCATCCCCTTTTTATACTATAAATATATTTCTGAGGTGATCATAAGGAAGGCATTTTTAATTCTAGTTCCTAAACATTCTGACCTACTGTTTCAGTGGTGGGTTCCTCCCGGTTCCACCCGGTTCCGCCGAGCCGGTAGCGGTGCCGATATAACGTCACCGAATCAGTTCTCCCCCCGCCCCCTGCTCCCCCGCGTTATTCTTACCTTTTATTTGGCCCCACCCCCAATCTATTGCTGCCTCCTGAGTCCCAGCTGATCAGCTAGAAGGAAAAAAATGTTTAAACTCTTGCCACGGGGTTTCAAAGGGCCGTCCTACAGCTGATCAGTGTTAAAAGGCAGGTGGTGGTAGACCGGTGCCTCCAAAAACAAATGAGTAGACTGGTGCCTGCAAAAATAAATGAGTAGACCAGTGCCTGCAAAAATAAATGGGTAGACCAGTGCCTGCAAAAACAAATGAGTAGACCGGTACAGCTCTGCAAGCAGTTAAAAGCCTGGTAGACCAGTACCTCTGCTAAAGCCTAAAGACTTGTCACATGACCATCAAGCCACACCCATAAAATAAGCCACGCCCACAGAACCGGTAGTAAAAAAAATTAGAACCCACCCCTGTACTGGTTTCCTTCGAGCTCCAGTTGGTAGATCTTGAAGTTGTTCTTGAATTTCATTCTTGGACTAGAAGGAATGGTTTAATCCCTGTTAAACCATTACTGTGCATAGTTAACCAGGGACATGGCCAGCGGTAGGTTTCACATATTCTTACCACCAGTTTGCCCTGCGTGTGCATGCTTGCTTTGCGCCTGCGCGCCTTCCGTACATGTGCCTCACCTTTTGTGCATGCGCTTTGCTCACGTGCGCGCCTTCCACACCTTCCGCACATGCACTCGGCCTCGAAAACATAGCTAAATAGGACAGCATTACCCTGGGGTGGGTGGGCAGGCCCAGCAGCAGTTGCTGCTACCAGTTTGCTCGAACCGGTCTGAACCGTCTGAATACCACCTCTGGACAGGGCTATAACTTTTACCATCCCTGATCCTTGACCATACTGCTAGACCCTCTGCCTCTGAGGGAGTGGAAAAGGCTCTTTTCACCCTTCCCAGATAC